TCGACGAATAACAGGATGATTTGTGATTGTGATTTGTGATCAGAGAGCCTGGTAGGCTACCGAGAGTATGCCTCCTGCACCACGGAGCCTGGCAAGCTACCCGTGGTGTTTTTGATATGCCAAGAACAGTAACAGTAACAGGTCTTATTCCCCTGACCCTGAAGGAGCCTCTAATACGGCAGCATTGGGAAAGATGAGTAAGGAGAGGCTGCTAAAGTCTCAGGGCTGGGACAAATGGAGACATTACTGGGTCCGCTCGAGCAAACTGATGAAAAATGGAATGACAGTGATACAGTGATTTTTTTAACCTCATTCTTTATTTTAAATGTGAAGCTGAACAGGGTGTAAACAATCAGTCATGGGACAAAGTTCATTTGAAATCTTTTCTGGCTGATGTCCAGCATACAATGAGGTCTTTTACCTGTAGAGAGAAAGAGGAAGTGTTGCTGTTGGCTTCTCTCTTCACAGTGGAGAGACAGTGGAGTCTGTCGTTGTTTTCACATTTTCTCATTATTGCTCAGAAATAGGATGATTAAGAACTTCCTTTGCCAGGAACCATCCGAGACAATCCCCAGTTTTAGCACTGAAAGTCCCATGTCCATGGACACCTCCCAGACTAGGACAATATGCGATGATTGCTCTAGTAATTAAAGTTCTTACCACCAGGAAGGAATGATACCATGATTGAATAGTTATTCAACCTCCTTTGCTTGCCTATAATCAGGAAGGAGTTTAGTGGGAGTTTAGGGTGAATCCGGGACCCGGAACTTTTGAAGAACAGCAAATATCAAGATCAAGGAATTTTGCCTATGGCGAAATCCATCTTACAGCAAGATGGATCCCTAGATCATTTCCTTGAACTTGATATTTGTGGAAATGAGTCAAGAGGTAAATGAAAAAGAAGTCCATATATGGGTGTTATTTTCTTTGGGGAGGAAGGGGGATATCAAGGTTATATCTGGCAGTGCTCAGGGCTCACTCCTGGTGGATTACGGTATCTGATGTGGGGGCTGGGTGTTCAGCTGGGGTTGAATTTTGCTAAACAAGCACCTAAACTCTCTACTATTTATTTGTTTATTTATTTATTTATTTTCTTTTTGGGTCATACCCAGCAATGCAATTTTCTCTCCTCTGGACCTCCCCACAACACTCTCTGACTCTCTGTCTCTCTCTGTCTCTCTCTCTCTGTCTCTCTCTGTCTCTCTGTCTCTCTGTCTCTCTCCTTCTCTCTCTCTCTTTCTCTCTCTCTCTCTCTCTCTGTCTCTCTCTCTCTCGTGTGCACGTAACAAACTTCTGTCCTTTCCTGTGGATTCTGATATAAGTCTTCTACCAAGTCAAGTATATCACTGCAACAATATCCATCTCAAGTAATAAATATTTTCAAATTGGGGTTCTGCATAAACTAATTTTTTTAAAATTCTAATTTCTTTATATTTCACAGTATAGGAAAATATTCCGAGGCAGCACTTTGGAAGGGGGAGGTTGGGTCACACCTAGTGATGCTCAGGGGACTGACCACATAGTTCCAGAGATAGAATCAGTGTCCGCCACATGCCAAGCAAATGCCTTAACCCCTACAATATCTGATCCCAAAGCCACCGTATTTATTGTACTTCAATTTCGGGATTCTGATTCTTGCAGCCTCCAAATTGTATTTTACCAGCAGGAGTGATATTTGGACAACAGATGACCTCAAATTATCTCGGTCCTACCCTAGGGATTTCAAAGCCTCCCAATGGGCTCCTCTCGTTCAATTCTAAATATACAAATTCTAGGGACCAGAGCAATAGTACAGCTGGTAGGGAACTTGCCATTAACTGAATAGATTCCGGGCATCCCAAATGGGATCTTGAGTAATTCCTGAGTGCAGAGCCAGGAATAACCTTCGAGCATGCCCGGTAGGTGACCCCAAACCCAAAATAAATAAATAAAATATACAAATTCTAAATTATGGATTTATACAACATCACATAACCAGGTCCCTGTCTCCTTTTCTTGCTCCAGTCACCCAGCTTGCCTTTGGCTCTTGTATGTGTTATCTTAAAGCTTATGGAGATTGGCAGTAACTAGGGAAGTTTGTGTCTCTCTAGGTTTTGAAATGACTGACTTTGTAGTCATGTAGTACTTGGTCTTCTATCATAGTCCATGTTTTAAATTTCTGAAAACTGCTTTTTTCTTCCTGATGAACTTTCTCCTAATACTGCCTTTGCTGTATCCCACAAGTTCTGGTAAATAGTGTCCCCATTCTTGTTTGTTTCTCTGAATTTTTAAATTTCCGCCTTGATTTCTTCTCTGACCTACTGTTTGTTCAGTATTAAGCTATTTAATTTGCAGTGTTTGAGTTGTCTCTCCATTTCTGTTTGGGATTAACTTCTACTTTCATGGGTCATGGTCTTAGAAGATAGTTGCTATGATTTCTACACTCTTGCCATTGGGAGATTATGCTTTGTATCCCATTTGTGGTCTCTCTCAGCGACTGTCTCGTATGAGTTGGAGAAGAAAACCCCCTGTCTTCCTTTTCTTTCCTTCAAACAAGTATTTCTTTGCTGAGCTTTAATGAAACCGATTTACTAAGAGGCGACAGAGCTGTGTTGAAATCTCCAATTACTATTGTGTTGTTATCAATGTGCTTCTTCAGTGTACTTATTAGCAGTTGTTTTAAGTATTTTGTTCTGGACCATATGTAGGTGCATATAACGTAAAAACTGCTTTTCAACATTAACATTTACTTATTTTTGTCTAGATTTTTCTTCTCCAACAGGGGCTTGTTCTTTTGTTCTGCCATTACCTGTAAGTCCTAGAAGGCTGAAGAACAAAGGTGTCTTTGCCAAAGAGACTGGGCTGTGGGAAAGTAACATAACATGAGACTAACACCTAAGGATAGTAGAAATAAGGATCAGGAGGATTGTCCATGTCTTGAAAACCGATCTGATGCACTGGGAGAAAAGGTAGCTGGGATGGAGAAGGGATCACTAAGTAAACGATGGTTTGAGGCATCACTCGGAAAGTACATGCGTGCTGAAAGAAGACTATGGACCAAACATGATGGTTGCTTGATACCTGTATTGCAAACCATAACACCGAAAAAGACAGAGTAAGAGGAAATGTGCCTGCCACAGAGGTGGTGCTGAGGGGGCCGTGGGTTAGGGTGGGTGGGGGAGGATGGGTGAGAGGGATACTTGTAACATTAGTGGTGGAGAATGGGCACAGATGGAGGGATGGGTACTCAAGGATTGTTTAACTGAAATGCAATCATGAAAGTTTGTAAGGCTGTAACTATCTTATGCTGATTCACTAAAAAAAAAAGGATTGAGTGCAGGCTCTCCATGGAGTAGGCTCAGGTACAGCACCAGGGACTCCCACCCCCACCCCAAACCAAATCCAAATGCCCCCTCACTCCAAGAGTTTACAAATCTGGTAACTTTGGTTGCATAACAAATACAATGTAAACAAAAAGTTGAATATACATCTAAACAACCCATAGAAGAGATGTTAAATTGTCATTTTCTTATGGCTGTCAGGGGGCAGGCTGGGGGTGGTGGTGGGAGAGGGTTTGGGAGCACCGGTACAGGGCAGCTGACATTTAAAGTTAGAATAATAGTATTAATTAATGTGGTGGTGGGATCAATGCTAGAACATCCTACGTCTAAAACTCAATTATCAGTAACTTTGTATATCACGGTCCTTTAAATCAAGTTTAAAGAATGTTATATCAGCAATGTTATTAAGACCCTGAGAACTGTTTTTCCCCGTTTTTGGGTCACACCCAGCGATGCTCAGGGGTTACTCCTGGCTTTGCACTCAGGAATTACTACTGACATGCTGGAGGGACCACATGGGATGCTGGAGGGACCACATGGGATGGAATCGAACACAAGGCAGGTGCAAGCAAGGCAAACGCCCTACCCACTGTACTATCGCTCCAACCCCCAAAGAACTATTTTTGATCTAAAGGACTGATTGAGTTGGAAGGAGGTGACTGCTCCTGTTGCTGTCCATCATTAGGATGCCTATGTCCTTGTTGCTGTCAATCATCAGAGCTCCTGTACCCCTGTTGCTGTCGATCATTAAGATACCTATATCCCTGTTGCTGTCAGTCATCAGGGTGCCTGTATACACCCTGTTGCTGTCAATCACTAGGGTTTGGTGGCTTGGCTGCTCCTGCGTCCCTGAAACCTAGCGAGATTCTAAGTTTTCAAAGCCAGTTTGAACAAGAAACAGCGTCAGAGGTGAAGAGAAGAAGGTGCTGGAGAGCCAGGCGAGTGGAGACTCTGAAGGCGAACTTGGACTCTCCAAGTTAAGTTCGAACTTGGGAAGCCCAGCAGCGGGATGGAATATTCTGGGGCACACTGTCCCGGGACACCCGCTCGCTCCCATTTTCCACGCTGAAACGAAACGAAACTGCGAAGTAGATTCATTAAAAAAAAAAAAATCAAAGAGGGGGAGGAAAAGGGGAAGTTACCTCGCTAAAAGTAGCGTGGGGCGAGTGGGGTGGGGTGGGGAGGGGTTGGGGTGGGGCGGGGCGCGTGGAGGCGGCGACAGCTCCCGGGAAATGCCCCTCGGCGGCCCCCCAAGTCCTCCCCCGGCCCCCCTGCGGCGGAATCCCGGCGGAATCCGTGCTCGGGAGTTGCAAAAGCAACTGCTGGCCTCTGCAAGACGGCGTTAGTCACGGCCCCGGGCGCGAACCCACCGCGTGCGAGCGGCTCGGCCCCGCCCCGCCCCGCCCTCGCCCCCCCTCCTGCCCGCCCCCGCCGCGGGGAGCAAAGTTAGCGGCGCCGCGAGGGCCGGGTGGGGGGCGCTGGCGTGGCCGCGGCCCGGAGGAGCTGGTCCTCCTGCAGGAACCCGCGGGGATCCGAGGGCCGGGCCTGCCCCGGGCTCCCTTTGTCCTCCCCGGACCTCCCTCGGCCGCTGCGGGCGCCCTTCGCTGCTCGCCGCCGCCCCCCCGGGAGGCCTCCAGGCGCCTCCCCATCCCGCCCCGCTGCCCCCCAAACCCCGCAGCCGAGCCCAGGGGCTGCACCCGGTGTGGGGGAGTCGCCGGGCCCCAGGATGGTGGCAGCTCCGGCCCTGGCCCGCGCGCCGGGTGGCTGGCTGGTCCCCGGGCTTTGGTGGCTGCTGGCGCTCGGGGGTCCCGGGGGGCTGCTGCTGCGCGCCGAGGAGCAGCCCTCCTGCAGGGGGGCCTTCGATCTCTACTTCGTCTTGGACAAGTGAGTGCCCGGGGGTGGGCTGGGGAGGTCCCCGGGACCGCGGGCGGCGGCGGTACGTGTGCACACGGGCGCGGGGGGCGTTGGAAACCCGCAGCGGGGGGGACTTTGGTGGCTCTCGGGTGCCCCGAGCGAGCCCGCGGGGCGCCCTTTGGGGTGGGAGGGGGTCGCTCCCCGCCCGAGGGTCGCTGGATGTGCCCGATCGCGGCTCGACCCTCACAGGGCCTCTTTGGAAGGGGGAAGAAGTCTCCCTAACATCCCGCCCCAGCCCTGGCAAATCACAGAATCCTCGGTGCTCTGCCCCCCGCTCGACTGGCAAAAGTTTTGCCCGGGTTCCTCCTGATCGCAGCGTTTTCACTGGAGCCAGGAAAAAGTCTGGCGTTTTACTCAGTGTGGTTTGCATTTCCTGCGTAGGAGGACTGTGTTTATTTTGCAGCGCGCGGGGCTGCTCCTTCAAACAATTGTCAGGCAGGTGGCCCACCACGAAGGTGGGTTCGTCGCCGCCTGCAGCACGGAAGTTGCAGCGACTGACAACTTCACTTGGCTGCAAGAAAGTGCCCACTGACCCTCAGGCCTCTGTATACTTGACTAATCAGCTCCATTGCAGTTTTTTTTTTCCCTTTTCTCGTTTCAGGTCTGGGAGTGTGGCTAATAATTGGATCGAAATCTACAATTTTGTCCAGCAACTGACCGAGAGATTTGTGAGGTATCTCTTCTACTTTACTTTTTTTTTTTTAAGGCAGGGGCTTTGACGTGGGCAGAAGGACACCCCACTGTCCTGGATCCCGCAAGGAAAGCCTTGATGGAAATGCTGCTTTTTTTGTAAAGTGCCTCGAGGTGGTTCTTACACAGGCTGTTATTTGGGCCGTCAGTTGCTGAGGGCTTATTTCATCTGGATCCCAGAAATTTGGCTCAGACTCCAGGGAAGCATCTTCAAAATACTATTCCAAATGTCTTTTTTTGTTTCTGGATTTTCATCTGTTTTGAGTTTCAGTTATGCTTTCTCATAATTCATCACATTAAAAATCTATGCTAATACTATCCACGATATAGTTTCCTCTCCACGCAGTTCTTAGCGTTGTAGAGGTCCTCAAAAAAAAAGTGTTGGTAAACTTCAAATGAACATGTGTTAATAACCCACTACCAGAAAAGGCACTTGTGTGTGTTTAAAGAGAGGACTAGTGTTTACACACTGTGTGGGTGTGTGGCTGGTTTAAAATTTAACTGTTCTATATATGCAAAAGCCTGCTAGCAAGACTGGTTTTCCTCTCCTATAAAAAGCAAAACTGCCATGAAATCCAGCTTACTCTTTGATTTAGAGGTTGCTCAAAATTTGAAGCCTCTTCTCTAGAAAAATAACCCCAGAATGCTAGGCTTTTGAGGCTGTATTCTTTTCCTCCTCCTTTTTTTTTTTTTAGGAAAAAAAATTGCCGGGAGCAAATGCAAGTTTATCAAGATAATGGAAAGGACAGACAAAGGAGCTGTATCATTAAATATTGCTTCTTTCAGTCTTGTTAGCCCAAATGTTTTCTGTAAAACAGGCTTAGATGATCAAAACATTTTGAAAGTCATGTTGCAAGTAAACTTCAAACAATCTGTAGAGGCCTAAGCGTTCCTTGCTTTCAGTTATTGGCAGCAGTAAACTTATCCCTATAAAAATGTATGCTTGTCCACGTTCAATCACCAGACTCCTGCGGATGGAGCCAAGTTTAACAGTCATTTCTGGACAGGGCTGAGGTGAAGCCATCGAGGAATGAAAAATGAACTGGGCCCTTAGATGTCAAAGGCGAAAGAGGCAGTTGTTTATAAATTTCTGACTTATTCCCAAGAGGCTGCAGAGAGTTTCACATAGATTTTGATCAAAAGCGATGACCCAGAGGAAGACAACATTTTCCGGAAGCAGGGATCCTATTTATTTGATTAAACTCGAAAGTTGGAATTGTAGATATGTGTCGGTCCCTGGTTCAAGTCCAGTTGTTCAGTGACTAACAGTGTACTGCAGGAAGTGAATAAGGGGTGACTACTACAGAGAATGCATTCTGAAGTGTGTTCGCTTTTGAGAGTGTTCTGATCTCGGTCTGTACACCTTAGTTTCAGATCTTCAGCTTTAATATTAGTCAGAATTGCCTGGGAAGAGCCTTAGAAATCAGAAACATCCTGTGAGACTAGGACCTGAAGCTACAAGGTGTCTCTAAACCAGACAGTTGTTGCCAATTGGAAGTCTGATGTTTGTTTGAGACTTGGAACATGGAAAATGCCTAAACCAAACATGATGTATTAGTTTGTGTCTCTTCTCCAAGGCACACACTCTTAGTGTTCTGACTTGAGGATGGCTTTTCAAATGGACTCCTATCCTAGTTGTGGTAATTAAATTAAGTTGGCTGCTCTCCAAGCCCAAATAATGCCCAGGATAGTAATTCTGGAGAGCCTAGGTTCTTGTCAGGAGATGTGGTAGAACTGGGAGGCGAAAAAGCCTTTCCACAGGAGTTTTGCACTGTCTCCAATTTCTCTTTCTAGACTCTTTCTAAATGCATGACTTGTAGTTCATGGAGGAGTGCTTAAGTGCAGAGAAACCCAGACTAAACCGAAAATGACTTATGCATCTATAATATTAGGCGGAATTAGTTTATCTACTTAGAGAGTTTCATTTAAAAGATGCTTGGACCATTCAGTGAGACAGATTTTAAATGCAGCTCCCTAGTAATACATCTGTGTCATGTCAATATTTCTTCTAAAAATGTCCTAACTGCCTCTTTTCTTATTTTGCAGCCCTCAAATGAGATTATCTTTCATTGTGTTTTCTTCTCAAGCAACCATTATTTTGCCATTAACTGGAGACAGGTTAGTGCATTATCATTTCACTGCGGGCTCTTAGTAGAGACTAATCTTAAAGGAATGATTGATATCTCCAAGTGGTGATTGAGGCCTCTCAGTGGAATCAAGCAAATGCACAGACAGTTCTCTGCTCTTCGCTAATAGAGGGGAAAGGCAGGCCATGAGCAATGCAAAAGAGCAGATAATCTGAAAATCAATATCACTTATACTATCTGTGGAATGTACAATGAAGCCCCCACTTGGCCTGAGTTGTATATTCATTACTTCCCACTTAGTCTTTCCGTTACTATAAGTAGTTGCACAATTTTCTTATTCAGAGGTAATATATGAATCAACTAGGTATTTGCGAACATTAGGGAGGTGAGAGATATGAATCTATTTGGATAATTTAGTAGATTTAATAGACATCCTGGATCTTCATTTGATCTTACACTGGGGTTCACTGAACTGAATATATTTATTTACCTTTATAAAGGAAATAGCTTTCTATTTTTTTCTATCTCCCCTCCCTCCCTTCCTCTCTCCCTTCCTCTCATTCTTCCTTCCTTCCTTCCCTCTCTTCCTCTCTTTCTTTGGTGGCTTTTCCCAAGCCATTTACACCCATTGTAGCAACTTACTTGTTTTTGACATATATTAAGAAATAACTGCCTTATGGGCTCCATTTTATGCAACGGATCAAAATCCCATAGCCAGAAGGGAGATTTTTTTTTTCCATTTTAAAACATCTACTTTCTCCAGGAGAAAGTATGCAAAGTTGTTTATACATAATTTATGTAGAATGGATAAATGGTTAGCACGATTTTAAAATCAAATTTCTCCAAACTGTAGTTTTCGCAGAAGGATACTTTGTTTTGCCTAATACATAGGTTTCTGAAAAGTAATATGTGAATGTTCTTTTTAAAATTACCTTTTTTAAAAACATGCCAAGAAAGGAAAATTTATTATGAAATCGGGGAGATAGCTTATTTGTAATACACGGCATTTTGTTTCTATCTAAATCTGTTTTTCTATCTATATCTATCTGTGAATCTATATATATATTTATTGTGTGTGGTATGTTTTCAATTCTATTTTTTTCTCTTAGAGGTAAGAAGTTCGACTTCAATCTCAGTTTTCTCATTGATTCTTCCTTTCAGAAATGTCCTGTGTGCATTTGTTTGAGTCTCATCAAATACCAGAGCAGTAGTAGTTCTTTCCAACTTTTGTTGAAGAGCCATTCAACAGTTCTCTTGGCCAAGTGTTAGAAATGCCCTTGTCTTTATGAAAAGAAAGTGCTTTGGAACTGTTAGGAGCCAAAAAGAACAATATTGCTCTTTCTAGAGTATACATATATAGAACAGGCCTTAGCATATTGCCAGATACAGTAGACTGTTAGTGATTCATCTTCAAATGCAGTGCCATGTTCTCTGCATATGGATCCTTTGAAACTTTGAAGAGGAAGGGTAGTCAGTGATCCACCAGATTGGTATAGATGAGGAATATGGAGAAGGATTAACATTGTTATCCTATAGTAGAGATTCTTGCCTTGTAATTGGTGAATGTAGTAGGGTAAAGATTGGAATGGGATAAAGAAACTTCAAGAGATGTATAAGCCTCTTGAACTCAGAGTCCCTGGGCTGATTTACTACCCATGGACAGGTAATTGAGCCCCCTCATGCCTGTTTTTTTCTACTGTTGATAATAATGGCAATAATGATGATAGACAATCTACCTTGTAGGATTGTGATAAGGACTTAAGATAATGTGTGTGGACAGAGTGTAGCATTTGTGGGGTCCAGAGACAAAAACTTTGTTATTAGCATTGTTGCTATTGGCATTGTGGTAATTTTCTGGAACTCAGGGATATAGACTATTTTAATTTAAATATTAATTTTTTATTTATAATAAATAAATAGTTAACAAGGAAGAATTATGCTTGTTTAAAGAAATTGCTGTCCTTCTGGACTATAGGGTCATTTGTTTTATTCATTTCACTTTCAAGTGTGCAGAAACATTTGCACATGTAGATTCAAGTTCACGGAAAAAACCTTTTCACAGCTATAGTGGATCTATGTTTCAAAGCCCAGAAATTCTACTTATAAACTTTCTTTTTTCTTCTATTTTTAATTTTAAAATTTAATTTTTTTAAATTTAAAATAAAAATTTTAAAATAAATTTTAAAATAAAATTTAATTTTTCTTTTTTGCTCTTTGAGTCACACCGGGCGATGCTCAGGGGTTACTCCTGGCTCTACACTCAGGAATTACTCCTGGTGGGTTTGATGGACCATATGGGATGCCAGGGATCAAACCCAGGTGGGCCGCATGCAGTGTTTATGTCCTCACCACTGTACTATTGCTCTGGCCCCTCATTTTCATCCCTTCAAAACTATGTATTGTGGCAATACTGATTTATAAATGTATAAATATTTACCTTATGGACCGACAGTATTATCTGTTATTCCACACCCATCATCAAGGTGCCAGTATTCCTCCAGCACCATGAACCCCGCCCATCCCTTTCTACAACCTGAGGTAAACCTCAGTTCCGTTATATAGGAGAGGATTTTCACTGGATATTGACTGTTCCCTTGCTTTGTTTCTTTCTGTACCACCTATGTGTGAGATCATCTGGTGTTTGTAGTCCTTCTTCTGACTTATCTTGCCTCATATGATACCCTCCAGTTTTTTCCATGTTATAGCAAAGACAAGACTCCATCTTTCCTTGTAGCTGAAGGTATTCCATTGTGTCTGTGTACCACTTCCATGTCCACTTATTTGTCCTTGCATGCTTGGGTTGATTTCAGACCTTGGCTGTTGTAAATAGCACTGCAGTGAACATAGGTGTGCTTGTGTCTTTCCAACAGTGATCTGTGTATCACACTCACAAATAGGTCTGAGTGTGTGAGAAAAGCAGAGATAAAGTACCGTGAGTTTCCCTATTTTAGCACTGTTACTCATAATTCTTCATTTCCTTGGTAAATATGAGAAGTACCTCTTTCGTGTTTCTCAGTGTTGCTAAATAGTTTCAGTATCAGTGAAGCAAGATTGGAAGTGTTAGCAGTAGAAGTTCTGTCTTCTGGTAAGGTAGCCACTGCTACGTAAATGCGTAGAGTTATAGAATGATAAACCTGGCAAGAAATGATCAGATGATACTCATTATGTGTTCTCATAATTAGTTCATTTAAATATTTCAATTTGAATCATTTCATTTTTCTCCTCTCCCCATGATTTTGACTTTAAATATCTGCATGCTTATCAGTTCACCTAGCTACATACATATTGCTTGTTCTCTTATATGCTTTGGTCTGGGCACTCTGGGATCTGAAGGTAACACAGATGAATAATCTTGTGTGTGTGCTTGTGTGTGTGTGTGTCTCTGTGTGTGGTGTATGTGTGTGTTTGAGAGTAGGGACTTGTACACAAAAATAGCTCAAGACGGTATTACAGTATTTGTAAGGGGAAATTATCATGTATAAATTCAATGTAGAACTCTTCAGCTTCTCAAAAGACTGAATCAGGACAAATTTTAAAGGGTGTTTTTAGTTACTACAGTATATAATTGAGATAGTAAATAGGATTTGTTCTGTTCAATATGGTTTTAGTGATGCAATGGTGATGTAGGTGAAAACATTTAGTGAACAATTTCATATGCTGGGCATTATGTGAAAGGCTTTCCATTCATTACTGCATTTAATCTTTATGCCAACTCTATGTAATAGATACTGGTGATACTGCTATTATTCAATGTTACAAGTGGAGATTCTGAATTTCAGAAAGATAATATAGCTTGTCCAAGGTCATATGGTGAATAAGTGCTGAGCAGAGTATTAGTCGGAACTGTCTCTTAAAGTGTGAAGTGCATGAGACCACTCTCATGCTTAGGTATTATAAACCTAATGGCTTATAATACCAAATATCCCAATGGCCTAAAACCTTATTGATCTCAGGGCTCTCCCACAGTGCCCTGAGTCACCATCCAACCATATTGGTCTGTTTCATTTCTTCAACTTTGTTTCTATGTTAAGGAAGTTTCTTTCTCTGCTCCATCCTCCTCTAGTCAGTTTATTCGTATTTCTTGAACCCCATCCTGTGTGCCATTTCCTTTGACAGACCTATCTGGTCACCAGGACTGAAGGAACACTACCTCTCCTCCCTAGTAAACTTTCAGAATATCCTGGTTTAATTTTGAGATAGCACAGCGGGTAGGGCGTTCGCCTTACAAGCGGCCAACATGGCCGACCTGAGTTCGATTCCTCCGCCCCTCTCGGAGAGCCCGGCAAGCTACCGAGAGTATTCGATATGCCAGACACAGTAACAACAAAGTCTCCAATGGAGACGTTACTGGGCCCGCTCGAGCAAATCGACGATCAACGGGAGGGCCTTTTTTTTTACCTTTTATCTGTATTGCAAACCTTAATGCCCAGAAGTGGGATGGAGTGATAGCACAGCGGGTAGGGCGTTCGCCTTACAAGCGGCCAACATGGCCGACCCGAGTTCGATTCCTCCGCCCCTCTCGGAGAGCCCGGCAAGCTACCGAGAGTATTCAATATGCCAGACACAGTAACAACAAAGTCTCCAATGGAGACGTTACTGGGCCCGCTCGAGCAAATCGACGATCAACGGGAGGGCCTTTACCTTTACCTTTGTTAATTAAGGGGTTTATTTCTAGCTCCGTCTTCCTGATATTAACTGATATGAGTGCAGAGGAGTGTTCTTTGTCATGTTCATTTGTATATTCTAACACCGACAATAGAGCCTCTGATATTGTAGATGCACAGTAAATATTTGATGAATAAATGATTGGGTTGATATGGCTCTAGAACCCAAGTTATTAATTACTGTTTATAATTATGCCACAGTAAATTAATACTTGTATTTGTCATTAATTTCTACTCATAAATATTTCCAACTTTCTTTTCAATATACTTGATTTACACTAAATAAATCTTAATTGTTTGATCTAACTACAGTATTCACTGTATCACTGTATCACTGTCATCCCATTGCTCATTGATTGCTCGAGTG